GTTTTGGTGTCAGTACCTCTATGCTCACCTCTTCCAACCATGTTATTTGACCACATCAGTTGCTCATGATGCCCTGTAGGTTTCATTGCCTAGAAGCAAGGTAGTGCCATCTACCTCATCAGAGTAGCTCACCACTCTTGTTCTCCTCTAATTTGTCCTCTACCCAGGAGCCAGAAAGATTATTTTAAAATAGAAACATTATCCTGACACTCTTCAGTGACTTTTCTATAATGAAAAAGTGTTAACAAGACCTAGAAGACATACCACTATTTGGTTCTTATACTTACTTTCTTTATAGTTTACTTTTCAGCTATTTTCCCCAGCACTCAGGTCTTACCAGTACACTCTTTTCCAATGAGTCAAATTCTTACCTGTTTCAGAGTCTATGGTCTCCTTTATCTGGAATTATCTTCTTTCCCCTTTATCTGGCCAGTGAATACTCACCCCCTCAGGTCTTCCTGAGAGTTTTTCTGATTTCTAATTATATAATAATGTGTGATTATGTGGTTACTATTTTACTTCCCCAAGAATATAAACTCCATGAGGGCAATGTATCTGTTTTGTTTACTATTTATTCCCAGTATTTTTAAAAAAATTTTTTTTGTAGTTGTAGATGGACAGAATGCCTTTATTTTATTTATTTTTACGTGATGCTCAGGATCGAACCCAGTGTCTCAGGCATGCTAGGCAAGCACTCTGCCTCTGAGCTACAGCCCCAGCCCTATTCCCAGTATTAAATAGAGTAATCAACATATATTTGCTCAATAATTTTTTTGCAAGGACAGAAAAGAGGTATTCAGGACTAAGAAGGTTTTCCTCAAGAAGTTAACAATTTGCCAGATGTGGTAGTGCATGCTTATAGTTTCAGCAATTGAGGAGAGTGAGGCAGGAGGATAGCAAGTTCAAGGCCAGCCTGGGCTTGCTAATTAAAAATAAAACAGGGGAGCTGGGGATGTAGCTCAGTGGTAGGGAACCTCTGAGTTCAATCCCCATAAAATACACACACACACACACAAAACACACACACACACACACATACACACACGAAGAAATTAATTACTCTGAAATAAATAGCAGTATTTATTCATACTTTTTTTAGCACTTACTATTTGAAGTCATTGTACAAGACTCAGTAGGAGATGAAAAAATGAACTAGATATTTCCCATGTTTCCCAGAAGCTTATTATCAAGGAGAGGAGGGGAGATAACATAAGACAATGTAMGTAAGAACTTGTTAACTTTGGTTCAAAATGTTGAATTTCAGCTCAGCACGGTGGCACATACCTATAATTCCAGCAACTTGGGAGGCTGAAGCAGGATGATAGCAAGTTCAAGGCCAGCCTGGGCAACTTAGAGAAACYCTCAGCAGCTTAGCAAGATCCTGCCTCAAAATGAAAGAAAGGRCTGGGGATTGAACCTGGTGGTTCTCTACTACTGACCTATATTCCCAGATACCCAATTTTATTTTTTATTTTGAGACAGGATCTTGCTGTTCTTCCCGGGAAGTCCTGGAAATTGCTATCTTCCTGCCTCACCCTCCTTGGTTGATGCAATTACAAGCATGAACCACCAGTCTGGCAAACTTCTTGAGGAAAACCTTTTTGGTCTTTAATTCCTCCTGAAAGTATAAGGGAATTGGGATAAATAATCTCTAAAGCATTTTTGAACTGTAAGGTACTGGGTCAATGATAAGGATATGAATTAAACATAAGTTTTATAACATCTCTATGATTTCCAGTATATTACTGGGCACATGGTGGAATTCAAGGTGTGTTTTCAGGGCACTGATTCCAATATAGATGCATTTAAGTTGAGAAGAAATGTATAGATTTTTTCTGAAAGTTTATATAAATTATGTGTGAATTGGGCAGGGATTGGGCTCAGTGGTACAGCACTTGCCTAGCATGTGTGAGACACTGGGTTTGATTCTCAGCACCTCATATATTGAATAAAATAAAGTCTAAAAAAATTTACTTGTGAATTGAACATTATTTAAAATACACAAGAGATACTTCTTATTAAATGGATTCCTAAGGTAATTTTTAACAGTATTTAGAATCATTTTATAATATCATAACTCACTAGTTGATCAATTTTTAAGTTCCACATTTTTCAATACCAAGGTTGTTGATAATAGGGTAAGCCACATTAGAAGCTTACAGTAATAAGGGAGTCAACTGATTTAAATAGCTATGGTTTAGATATGGTTTGTGTGTGTCTCCCAAGTATTGGAAGTTTGGTTCTCAGTGTGGGAATTTTAAGAGGTAGTGAAATCTTTAAGAGGTAGAGCCCAGTGATTAGGTCACTAGAAGCACTGCCCTGGTTCAACTGTAGGTTCTTACAGGACCACGGTTAGTTCCCATGGCAGAATGTTGTTATAAAATAGCCAGAATGGCCCTTCCCTACTCTCTGGTTTCCTGTTTCACCTTGTGCTCTCTCCCTCTCACACACATGCCACCATGATATCATCTCCATGATGTGATGCAGCAAAGGGAGCCCTCACTGTAGGTTGAACAAATGATGCTGCCCAATCTTCAGCATTCAGTCTCCAAAACTGTGAGGTAAATAAACTTCTTTATACATTATTCAGTTTTAGGTATTTTGTTAGGGCAATAGAAAAAATACAAATATTGAGTAAAGTAATCTATTCTTCATAGAAGTGTTCCTCTTTCTGAAGTTTCTGAAATTATTTTCTTCTCTCTCTCTCTCTCTCTCTCTCTCTCTCACACACACACACACACACACACACACACACACATACACACACACTTTCTCCTTTGTGTCTTAACTCATACTTCACTCTTACAGATCTACTCTAATTTATAACACTATGTGTAAACTTTTCATCTTCCAATATTCCTTTCCACACTCCTCCCCCTTATTGACCCACATGCCTCACCATATTTCATAATAGGTATGCTTCCCACGGTGTCTGGATCTTCCACAGTGTCTAGATTCTTCAAGCTATCTGTCTTTGCTGGTGGCTTTGGGATGAGCATGCTGGAGGTTGAAGCTTCCCCAGCTGAGAAGCAAAAGCTCTAGGTTACCATCAAGCTGGGATTCAGAGAAGGGAGTGCTTCTTACTTCCTTTCATCTTCCCTATGATTCTCATCTGACCATAGCTTTCTTTCCAATAAATATAGTGGAAAATAAGAGAAGTGAAGGCTATTCTCAACAACTATTTCACTTCAAAAAGATTCTATTCCTTTGACATAAGCAAGGGCAAATCTGAACACATTACTACTATTTTGGGGCCACAGTAGAAGAGAAGGTCATTTTAAGGGAGGATGAGTTTGATTTAGCCTACAGGTTTTGAAGTTTCATTTATAATGGCAATCATGACTTCCACAGATAAGCCCAGTCAAGTTGGAATATTTCATAAAGGACATAGAAATCAAAACCCACTTCATCAGCTATAATGTTTCCCTCAACTTCCAAGTCCTTCTTTTCTGCCTGAGCCCTATCTCCCATACAGGTCAACTTCTTTCCTATCCTTTAATGAGTTGGTGACAAATATCATAATTGGAAGGGAATAAACAAGGGCATCTGACCCCTTAAATCTGTAAAGTTAATATCCTGTATYGAGGCTCCTTGTGAGAGAACCCAATTCCTGTCACTGAAGTATGATCAGGAAACAATGATACCTGTTTCCTCAGAAGTCCTGACTATTCGGCGAGATTGAATCACACACATGAAAAATTTCAGTTGAAATTCTTCTTTATGCATGATTATTTCCTAGAAATAAATACAGAGTTTAATCCAATTGAATAGATCTGTGGAAGGATTAAGGTGTCCATAACTAATATGGACTAGGTATGCTCAATATACTAGGTCTTAAGATTTGACATAGAAAAATATCAGCAGATAGCCAAGTGTGGTGGACCGTACTGAAACTCCAACTACTCAGAAGGCTGAGGTAGGACGATCACAAATTTATGCCCAGGCTGGGCAACCTGGAGAGACCCTGCCTCAAAATAAAAATGTAAAAAGGGCTGGGGGGCGTAGCTTGGTGTGAGGTACTCCTATCACCATAACTGTCCCTCAAATTAGCCTATGAGGTGATACAGATAGTGTACTTTTATACATTTGATAGGGCAGGATCCTCTGAACTCAGCAAGTTTCCTATTTCCCAGCTGTTGAGAATGGAAAGGCTGGGAGCTCCAAAGCCTTCCCTTCAAGATTGGGCTCAAATTGTTGGCTGTCTTCTGGGTCTAGAGTGCCTACCGAGAGTGTTTCTTCAAGACTTATTACACATGGCCTCCATTAGAGGCCAAACAAATTGAGGGGCTTGGTAAACAGACTAAATGAACATTTTTCTTCCATTATTTTCTCCAAAAATATGGCACAAACTACAGGTTAATCATTAGGGTCCCTGTAATAGTGAAAGGAACACTTTAGAAGTCAAGACTCTTGGGTCCTTTCTTATCTCTATCTAGAAAAGTATATCTTTCTGTTGGGTCCAGAAATCACTGTGGGTCTAGAGATCATGCCTGTGTTTCAAACTCCTCCAAAGTGCAGGAAGGGTTTAGGTGTTGTCAAAGTCTAATCTAAATTGTCCCCAAGGTTTTTTTTTTTTTTTTTTTTTTCCGCTCTCTCTGAATTGTCAGTCAAGCAAGATATAATGCAGGGTACAAGGCTGCAAATTAAGAAACTTGTTTCCTAGTCCTAGATCTGCTACACAGTTTCTAGCTTTGAGAAATGACTTCATTCCACTAAACTGTTAGACTAAATTATCTCCAATAACCTCTACATACACTAACGTTCTGTGATTCTCAGTAAGCTATAATATAGCCTGAGATCAACTTAAATCTCATATAAAAATATGAGCAGATAGCTGATGTCTCTCAGGAAGCCACAGGTTCTCAAACATCTAGGGCCACAACAAAAAGCTACCACAGAAACTTGAGCTTAAGCAAAAATCGACATGCGGAACCAGAAGGCGGCGGGTACGTGGGCCGAGGGAACAGGGAAAAGCAAAGGACGAAGGACGCACTAACGGTATTCCGAGTACGAGAAAGAGAAAAAGCTCAGACTGAAAGGGAACAGGGAAATTGTGACTACAGCCTTAAACGGTCCCTCGGTGTCTCCAGCCTGCCCACACCGCGCAGGCGTTCCACGGGTCCTTAGCTCTGCTCTTTGACCTCTGCCCCACCCCCTCCTCGGCAGCCACCCAGCGCTCTTCCGGTGTTGTGAAGGCGGTTCCGGTTCGCGGCGGTTCCCGGGTTTTGCGTTCCGCGGCTGGCCGGAAACCCCTTTGCAAAGCAGCCGGTTCCGGTTCGGTGAGTGGCGGCGGGAAGCTGGGGGAGGGGAGAGGATGGAGGGAGCCTGGGCCCGGAGGCTGTGTCGGACCGGGCACGCTAGTCTAGGCTGGGCTGGGCGGAAGCGAGGACCGCTGTGGGGACGGCGCTTTTTCCTCTGCCCCGCCCCCTGGGACCACCTCCCCTCCCCCCTGCTGTCCGGCGGCAGCGGTCTGGCGGGTGGCCGTTAGTTAGGCTTCCTGAGGCCGTTCTTTCAGGCCTGTTTCTCCTGAGCTGCGGAGAGGCAGTCTACCTGCGGTTAGAGCAGGCCGCATCTTAACGCTCAGCTCTACTCGTGGGGAAAAGGCCGGTTGGGATTCCGGGACTTTCCCGCCAGAGCAGGGTCTTCTCTCAAGGGAGAGCTGTTTCCACCGGGAAGCTCAGCTTTCTATCACACCTGCTTCACCTCTCGCCTTCCTTGAGACCTGAATGATATTTCTCGGCTACTTCTGCATCTCACGTAAACAATTCTCCAACTCTTTTTTACTCTGTGGTATCTCCCTGAGATGTGATATTGCTAGTGCCACCACCAGAAAGAACGTCTGGACCCTCCTGCCCAGGTTATGAAAATCCCCTTAATTGCCACAGTTTGCTTACCTGGCTCATCGCCTCCCGGTAATTTCCTTGAACCGTCTCTTTTTTGGTATACTCTAACGTGATCTCTCTGGATATATGCACAGTTTCTCTTGTCTTGAGCTTGGTGATTTCTGTTTATCAGTGCCTCTGCAGTATTTCCACTATCTTGTTGGCAATAACTTGCTCCTTTATCACTTTCAAGTCAGACTGGTTAAAGTTATTTCAGTTCACCTTTGGTACACTTATTGTATTTGGAGTGGTGGTGATTCTTGTAAAATTTATATGAAGCCTTCTATAGACTAGCAACTGCCTGACTGACTTAAGGCCTTTGTTGTAATTGGATATTCAGAATGAAATACGTTACATCTCTCCTAAAACTTTTATTCTTCATAAAAATTTGTGCTAAGGACTTGGGCTGAAATATAGATCATACTGACTTTGAAATTACAGTGAAACCTTAAGCATCTCATTAAGCACAATCCCTTAACCTTTCAGTTTCAGGGTTTCTCCCCCATCCCCACCCAGTCCTTTTTAGGAAACTTCATTCATTTTTACGCCATTTCAGTTAAATAGTACAACTGCAAAGATGGTCTTATCACCCATCTGATGAATTAAGTTGGAGTGGATGGATACAAAAACAGGTTCTGCTACTTGTGGCTAAAGTGTTGTAACTCCTGACTGCTGCTTTGGCAGTCCTTTTTTTTCCCACTGACTTCCACATCTTTTACCAGTTGTACCAGTTTTACGGTCTTATTGAATATGTTTATGGGTTTGGCTTCCCTTACTAGACAGTGAGCTTCTCAGTGGTAGGGACCAGTTATTATTCATCTTTGTGTCTCCAGTACCCTGCACTTAAGTGCATAATAAATGGATGTGTGTGAAAGAAGTTAAATATTTGCTGTTTAAGATAGATTATTAAGATGCTTAATATTTTAGAGTCTAATTGGGAAAGATTACATATATAAATACTAAGGGGAAAAACCTGAAATGCATAATATATAATACAAAATGTATCATTAATTATTTTTCAGAGCTCAGGTTGGTTCACATGGTTACTTCTATAGGCTCCTCATATCACAAACTGTTCTAACTCCATTGTACAATGCCTCTCTCAATATAAATTTTCTGGTAACTTCATCATAGCCCTAAACATTTTATTTTATAATCACCTCTTTGCAGGTAAGCTTATAAATGTTTTGCCACACATTAATTTTTTGTTTTAAAGTCAGGACTTTTTCATCTTTTTTTCCTTTCAGTTTTCCCATTACCTTGAGTTCAGCCACTAACTCTATTCACCTTAATAACTATAATTGCTTATGTTCTTTCAGTAAACTGAATGATCAATGTATACTAGGAAATGAGTTATTAATTTATTAAAAGAAAAAATTATTATCCTTGCAAGAATTTGGTGGCATCAAAGGTTCCTGATCCAGCATTTCATGCAGAATCTTAGGATAAAATATCTTTTCTTCCAATGTAATTGCTAAAGAAAATACTGTAAGCACATTGAAGAAGCTGGTTATATTTGTATTAAAATGTAAATGTGATGCTTTAACTATTAAATTATGTCATTGTAGATTCCCCAGAACTAGCTAGAGATTCTTTGAATGAAGATATGTTAATGTATATAAAGTCATGTTATTTTTGAAGTGTGCATTTGCTGGGGAGTCAAGGATTTTGGATTCTTGTTTTCCCTTTACCCCCTCTGTGTTTTCAGGCAAGTCATTTAACTTTTCTGGACATAATCTCGATAATTCTTTGAATTTTTAGCTTGTTTCCCTCTTTCTCAGCAAAATGCAAAGGAAATTAACATGGAGTTGTTCTACTGGGCATTAGACTTTTCAATTGTCATTCTTCTTTAAAAAAAAGCTAGTGATGGCAATTAGGAAGTGACCTGAAAGAGTGAAATGTGAAAAAAGCATGCTGATTTATTGGTTCATATAGTTTTTTCTCCCTTAATCTGGAACCTAGGAAATTCTCTCTTAGAGAATCTGGAGAATATCCAGATAGAGAACCTTTGTTGAGCATTTGGAAATCAATTTGAATATTTGAAAGCTAAATCTAAGGCCTAAACTATTTGGGGACCCTCCCTGGCAAGCCTAGGTAATCAGTTGATTATTCTGCCTAGTCTGAAGCTCTGCCAAGAAAAACTGAAGCATCCTTACTTTGCATATGCACTTCTTCTTGTGACCACAAAGAATCCCTACTATCAACCAGTCTTCAAAATACATTGAAGCCCTAGTATTGTTGTGTACTTGATGAAGTGATCAATCTTTTTAAAAATAAGGTGATAAAGATTATGAATATATATAGGTATGAGTATTACTATCCCTAGTTTCCTCCTCTGGGAAGTCTGCCAAAAAATCATATGTGCCAAGGATGTTTATTAACCTAGTTCCAAGTACTTAGACTCTTAAATCCCCTCCCCCTTTTTTTTCCTGGAAAAAGTAGATATATAAGGGAAGGCAGTGAGAAAAGTCTTATCTGTGGTTTCACTTTCTATAGTCATCTGTGTTTCAAAATAATTAAATGAACAGTTCATATTTTGAGAGAAACACTGCATTCATGTAACTTTTATTATAGCTTGTTGTTGTAATTAACTATTTTATTGTTGCTTATCTATTACTATTCCCAGTAACCCAATTTATAAATTTCAGTATATATGTGATTAATTATAAACTATATATATACAGTTTTTTGCATACATATATAGATGTATATATACAGGGTTCAATACTGTCTACAACTTCAGGCATCAACTGGGGGCCTTGGAACATACTCTCTGCTGATAAGGGGGACTATGATATTGGTGTAGGGGCTTTGGTTTGTAGCAGTTTTTTTTTTTTTTTTCTTAGCTGCTTTGGGGATTGAACCTAGGATTTCACACATGCTAGGCGAGCACTCTGCCTCTGAGCTATATCCCCAATCCTAGTTTTTAGCAGTTTGATGGATAATTCTGTGAAAGGAGTACTTTATAGGATCCTAAAGTATTCCTTCATTGTCCTCAACAAATCAGCAGCTTTATATTTGGTCACTGAATGAGATGTATGGAAAGAGAAGCCTTAATAGGATCATTTTAAGGCCTGTCTTTTGTAAAATGGTTTAGTTTGAGGTAATAGAAAAAGCAATGGATTGGGGAGAATTTCTAGATTAGAATTTCAATGTAGTCACAGACTTTATGCAAATTACTCAATCTCCTGAGGGCTGGCTGTCCCAACTTGCTTTTGCTTTAATATTCTATGATTCTTTGGGTTCTAATTGCTGTTGATTGTAGCACAGTTTCCACAAATGTTTGGAAGCACCTAGGGCCAATTTTGTTTTCCACTCTCTTCCCATCAAGTCAACTCTCTCAAACACTTTAGATTTTTCTCCACTAAAAAACACAGATTGTCACTTCTAATAACTTCCTGTTTTATAAGTACATGTTTCACTATGTAATGTTTCTGTTTTGTCTTTTTTTTTTTTTTTTTCAAATAGGACTTTGTATCTTTGCTAAAGTCAGTGATGTGAAAAGACCTGACATGGGTAAGAGTAACCATAAAGTACTCATTCAGTTGTTTTAGTTATTCTGATGAGTTAAGCTGGACTGAAACAATGAGTTTTCCTGATATTTTCAATAGTTGTATCTTTGTGTGTAATAATAATTTTAAGGGAAAACTTAATATATTAATTATGAAATGCTATATACCACACATAATTTTTTCTTGGGTAGGTTATTGTTTAGAGTCCTTTAAGAGCATTCATATTCATTGTATTGAAAAAAACAGTCATACACTAGTAAATATTTGCTGTGCTTGCTATGTGCCTGTCCAATTATTTAAAATGTTAATCTAGTTATTTTGGCCACCTTACAAGGATACCTAATAATACCTACAACAGAAATACTGCCATTTTCCCTGTAAATAAGGAAAATAAGACACATAGATTAAGAAACTTTCTTAGGGTCATGTACCATATAGGGTAGAGCCAGGATTTAAATAATTCTGGTTCTTGAGACCCTATTCTTTAATACTATGTTAAAATGCTTCTATGTGGTAAATAATTTGATTAAGATAAATGTTTCATTTAACTAGTGGTATTGAGAATTCATTGTGACTAGGACATTTTCCACTATTTCATTTATAGTACTTCATGTCTGTAAAAGAAATCCCTATAAGTTCAGAAGTAATAGCCCATATAGGAATAAACTGAAAAATCTATACAGTAAGATCTTATAACATTACATATATTTCTTTTAAATTCACATTGGCCTTTTATCTCCTCCTTTCTTTTCTTTTTTTGTTATCTGCATTTTTTATTAATTTATTTATATAAATTAGGTATATATGACACTAGAATGCATTTTGATTCATCATACATAATTGCAGCACACCTTTTCATTTCTCTGGTTGTCATGATATAGCATCGCACCATATGTGTAGTCATACATATACCTAGAGTAATGATGTCCATCTCATTTCACCATCTTTCCTGACCCCAAGCCTCCTCCCTATCCCTCTCTCCCCTTTGCCCAATCAAACAGTTCCTCCATTTTTTTTCTTTTCTTTTTTTTTTGTTGCCAGAGCACGATAATATAATTTTTTTTAAACTTTTATTATTAGTTGTTCAAAACATTACATAGCTCTTGACATATCATATTTCATACATTTGATTCAAGTGGGCTATGAACTCCCATTTTTACCCTGTATACAGATTGCAGAATCACATCGGTTACACATCCACGTTTTTACATACTGCCATACCAGTGTCTGTTGAATTCTTCTGCCTTTCCTATCCTCTACTATCTCCTCCTTTCTTTTCTGTTGATTAGTCAACCTTCTTTTGCTGGTCATTTATTTACATTCTTTCTCATTGCTGTTATCCCTGTGTAAGTCATTAAGTTCCCTTAACTATTATTTGTTCCTGTTTTAGCTCTTTTATAATAAAAAAAGTAAGATTCTACCATGATATTACAGTAATTGAACTGATATCTATAAGAGCCAAGTAAGCATTTTTCTGAGTTAAAACATGAAATAAACCAGTGTGGGCAGTTTTTGTTTCTAAGTGGTGAAACACTCCCCTCCAATTAATTAATTAATTTATGTATGTATGTGGTGCGGGTGATCAAACCCAGATCCCATGCATGTACGCAAGTGTACTACCAACTAAGTTACATTCCCAGCCCTCCAATCTATTTTTGAAGAAACAGGGTCTTGCTATGTTGCCCAGATTGGTCATAAACTCCTGTGCTCAAAAGATACTCTTTCTGGGGCTGGAGTTGTGGCTCAGTGGTAGAGTGCTTGCCTAGCATGCATGAGGCACTGGGTTCAAACCTTACCACCACATAAAAATGAAATAAAGATATTGTGTCAACCTACAACTAAAAAATAAATATTAAAAAAAAATACTCTTTTCTCCATCCCATTAGCTGGGACTTCCAGTATACACTTCTGTGCCTGGTTTCCCAATTTTTTTAATATTCAATTTTCTTACAGTTAAAACATTAAAACTTTTATTTTGAGGACATTTTAATATTTTAAAACTTGAAATCAAACTGTTTTTATTCTTGTATAAGTTTTGAACCATTTGGTAGGTGATCTCAATTCTGCATGAGCCAATTTCTGCCATATGGTCCGCCTTTGACAGTGACATTTTGAAGTTTCTTGCCAATGGTTAGCTATGAAGGAGGGGTATTGTTTGACTGGAGTTGTTCTTTGGGAATCATTAGGTGAAAAGATTTGTTCATAGAAAAAAAGTTATTGAAGAATCATATGACTTGATCTAATATAGATTCTTTCCCCAGATGATATTGCTGATAGGGTGAGGATGGATGCTGGAGAAGTAACATTAGTGAACCACAACTCCATCTTCAAAACCCACCTCCTGCCACAATCAGGTTTTCCAGAGGACCAGATTTCACTTTCTGACCAGCAGGTTAGGAATAATTTTCTTCCTTTAATTAATTTGCTCATTATAAATTTTTATCTGATGTAGTATAAATGCCTCACTCCAAAAATATAAACATGCAGTTTTTTTTTTGTACCAGAGATTGAACTCAGGGACACTTAACCACTGAGCCACATCCCCAGCCCTATTTTTTATTTTATTTAGAAACATGGTCTCACTGAGTTGCTTAGTGCCTCGCCTGGCTGTTGCTGAGGCTAGCTTTGAACTCAGGATTCTCCTGCCTCAGCCTCCCGAGCCCACTAGGATTACAGGCTGTGCCATCACGCCTGGCTAAACAAGCAAACTTTTTACAATGAATAATTTTAGTGTTTGGAATTCTGGTTGGTATATTAAAGACAAGACATAGTTAAAACAGACAGTATATGTATGAATTACTTGAGAAAAATATCTTTTGGAAAACTTTTAATGGTTCCTTTGAATATTATAACTGTCATTATGTAGATCAATCTTTTTAAATTAGTGTCTTAAAATTACTGAGCATTGTTTCTGTGTGTGTACAAAATACAGCCACTCTGAGATTTGCCTGTGCTATAAATCTTAGTTTCTTAAGGTCTGATCCAGAACCAACAGTCTCAGCATTATTCRGGAGCTTGGTAGAAATGCAGAATCTGAGGTGTCACCCTCTACCACTGAATCAGAATCTATATTTTAAAAACATCTCCAACTGATTTATATACACATTAAAGTGTGAGGAACACTATTAATAAGCTGTCTTTTTCAGTAGGAAAGCCATTAGTAACTTGATGAGATAGTTCTTTGCTGTTCTAAGCATAATAGGAAAGCCACTGAATATTTGTAGCATCCACCCTGCTGCCATAATTGTTTAGATAATGAGTATGTATTTATACATTTCAGATTTGTACTAGGGATATAGCACCCTCCCTGATTAATAAGTATCTCTTCAGAATTTTCAAAAGATTTCCTCAGCCTCTGTTATACATGTTGCAAGTGGCTTTTAGATAGAAGGTACCAAATGCATATTCACTTTCTATTTTTTTTTCTTTCTTTTTTATGGGGAGGAAGAGTGGGTTCTAGGGATTAAACCCAGGGATGCTTTGACACTGAGGTACATCCCCACCCCTTTTTATTTATTTATTTTTTTTATTTTGATACAAGATCTTGTTAAGTTGCTGAGACTGGCCTCGAAATTGCAATCATCTTGTCTTAGCCTCCAGAGTCATTGGGATTACGTGTTCCTTCTTTCTATGCATTTATTTTTTAATGAATGTTCTTTGAATTAAGTTTTATAGCAGATATTTTATCCATTTTGCCCCCTTGAACCTGAATTGTTTCACCAGATTGTTTGTATTTTCTTTATTTGTATATAGTTTATAATATATAATTTTTTGGGGGGTGGTGCTGGGGATTGAACCCAGAGCCTTGTGCATGTGAGGCAAGCACTCTATCAACTGAGCTATATCCCCAGCCCCCTATAATATATAATGTAAAAACACAATATAATACAATTAAATTGCAAAATATGCCATATTCCTATTTAATGTTATGTTTTTCTTAATATAAAATTTTATTCCTTTTTATTGTGGAAAATATGATTTAAGAAAATTTTTCTGCTTTGTTTAGATTTTACCTTCCAGGCAAGGAAATTCGGGCCGATCTTTTACAACATGTTCCACAAGAAGTGCAGCTTATAGTCCAAATTATTACTCAGGTATGACACATTACTTGTAGTCAAGGTACTTAYACCTTTCAGATTTCTTCCTAGCAAATCTTTTGTGTTTATCACACAAAAGCATTGGCAAAATCAAAATGGCATTTTCTTCATTAAACTTCATTTTATGTGTATGTATTTGATTATTATAATACTTTATGGACCTAGTCTCAACCAGATACTAACTTTTTAGTGGAAGGGTTTTTTTTTGGAATCAGTTCTACTTGTCTGTTTTGCATTGTAGAAAGCAAAATGGCTTTATTTGTTTTTGACTTTTTGGATATGTGTATGTGACATAAAAGGTATCTGTTTTGCATTGATTTAAACCAAAGAGATGATTTATTTCTGTTCTGCTCTAAACATACCTGAAAATTTATTTCCACCCAAGCTTGTTCTACATCAGGGCAGGAAATATTAACTACATGTTTCTGTCTAGCACCTGCCACAGCCATATGCTTGCATATTCAAGGGCTTACCTAATCAACTTGTGATCCATGACAGAAGTCAGCATTTTCTAGGTTATTCCTATCCCTGACCTGCCTGACTTATCATCTTCCTTCCTAGGGGTTAGACTTCCCATGATTTTCTGCCTCTGCCTTGAGAAATGAAGAAATTTTTGTTGGTTAGTCCATTGGCATTATAACTCAAGGTCTTTTCACTCTATATTTCAGTCTCCTCATTTTACTCCAAAAATGGGAATACTAAGAATATCATTGAATCTGCATAAATGAGGTTATTATAAGGATAAACAGATGATAAATATGAATTGCAAATAATAATTATTCTTGTTATTTGGCTTCCTCAGGATTCTTTGTCACCAAGATGAGATCTCCTCCCCTAAAAAGACGTTAGTATGATGCTCTTTTAGATTTATATTATATTTAAATGTGATGTAGTACTTTATCTACCCTGGGCACTGGATTTCCTCTCTTTGGGTGGGCAGTGACCTCCACGTAATATGTGCATAGAAAAATCAGTTTTTTAAAGAACCATCAGTTAATTAACTCAGAACYTCAATTGTTGTTATTATTCATTGTTACCATAATATCTCATTATTATTGAAAGAGCCTTTATGAACAGAGAGCCTGAAATCCAATTTGATAGTTCATTAAATAATCCTAGAGAAAGGATAGTTATGATTAATGAAATTAGATTATTAATATTTCTATTTGAATTCAGCCTGTGTTTGCTTACACTTTTATATGCCGTTTTACCATTGGATAGAATCCCTTTGCGTTAGGTTTAAAATAATTGCTTAATAATAACCGGTTGAATAGACAGTTGTACTCAAAAGTCCCCAGACTGTACCTTAATTCTTATTTAACTCCACTCTCTTAGGCCTCTTATGATTTTTATCTGCATATATTCATGGTACACATTGTATGATTCAACACATAAAATCTTTATATCAATGTTTATATTTTTAGTCTGCCATATTCTTCCATATTTTAAGTTTCACATATTCTTCCTCATATTTATTATTTTCCATTGATTTCTAATCCATAGAATTGATAAGCACATCCATAATCCCTTATGTGCAGTTCCAAACTCCAAAAAACCCTGAAAATCAAAAATATTTTTATAACTCATTTGACATCAAAACCTGACCTGACTTGAACTGAATTAATTCCTTGGCAAAGCATATATTAATTGACATAAGCTGTTTCTCTCTTTATTTATCTCTGTAAGCATGAGTATTTACATATTTTGCTGAAGATACATCAATAAAATTATTTATAGAGTGCTACTTCAGATTATACTTGGAAGTGTTATATTGTATATCAGATTATTTTTCTAAAATCCAAAACTTTTACATTAAAAAATACAATAGACCCCAAGAGTTTATGATTTGGGATAATGGGCCTATGTCTTCATTTGCTTCATTATTTTTGCTGTGGTTAGGTCTGCTTTACTCTTGCCATTTTCAGCTGTTATTAGTAACTTCACTTAAAAACATTTGTATAAATACCTTTTTTTCTCTTAAATTTTAGTAGACCTTTAATATTTATAAAAGATATATCTGAGATCACTGCAGATCCTTATGTTCTTGATTGTGGCAATATTGGACTAAATTCCCAGTTTTCTATTCAGTTTTATGTGATGTGATTGTTTCAGCTATTCTGTGTTCATCTTCATACCACAAGTTGATTCCCATATCAGAACTCTTATAATAAAGTGTACTTCTCATTTGAACTTAGAAAATTTTTAGGAAAAAAAATTCATAATTGTATGCATGTATGCATGACAATGAATATAGAAAACAACAGTGAATAATAAAGACATACCGAAATGGGAATACCAAGATCTCTGTTAGACTCATTTTCTCAATTATTTACAGCTTGAAACAGAGGATTCAAATTTGTTCCTTTACCAAATTTCATCTAGTACCTACCTGATCAAATAAGTTTTATCATGTCACAGACCTCCAAGGTTGCTGCCTAACAATCAGAAGAACGCCAAGAGTTTAGATACTTTTCATATATTGAATTCTTTAATTTTAATTAAAAGCTGCTTTTGGGTCCAGGGGTATAAGTTACTGAAGGACTAAGTACCTAGTATGTACAAGGCTCTGGGTCCCCTTCCTAGCATTCCAAAAATGAAAATGAAAGCTATTTTTTACCATTTAGTTTTAGAGACCTCTTCCTTTGCCACACCAATTCCAATTCAATGGACAGGGTCCTTTGGATATAATTGTTTCTAATAATCTTCACATTAATTTATGTGGTCAGTCACCTTGAGTCTAACCTTTTGACTGGGCTAGATGTGGACTCCCAGTTTACCTGTTTTAGTCTTCYGATCTCCTGTCCCACTCTACTGTCTCTCTTCCACCAAGATGAAAATGAGCAGGAAAGCTCAAACATTTAAATCAAGGGTCTGGAGTTTCTTTTTTATTAACTTTATTGTATATGCATCTCTAGATCAAGCCTTTTAGAAAACTGATTCTCAGTTCATTCAAGGTTAGACTATTAAAAAAATAGATTTTGGGGGCTGGGGTTGTGGCTCAGCAGTAAAGTGCTCACCTAGCATGTGCGAAGCCCTGGATTCAATCCTCAGTACCACGTGAAAATAAATAAATAAAATAAAGGTACTGTGTCAACTATAACTAAAAAATATTTATAAAAATAAATAAATAGAATTTAAAAAGAATTTTTAGAATGCAAAATTCTAGCATTGTTTCACTTTAAAAACTAGTGGTGGTCAAGCTTCAAAACCTTTACTTTAACCAAGAGCACAATAAAAAGTCTTATTTTTAGCCCTGAACAACAAAACAAACGAATATATTAAGATGAAAAGAAATGATTTTGCTAATGCTTAGAATCTCCAGCATTAGTAGGTAAAATTTAATTTCAACTGTACTATTACTTATAGTAGTTAAATAAATCCTAAAGTTAACATGAGCTATCGATGATTACTTTTATAGTGAATGATTATCTGACACTCTTATTTTTAATACAAAGCTTATTATGTCTATGGAAGTATAACCTGTCGCTACAGAAAATTGGTAGAGAAAACTACAAAAGCCCATCTTTTATCATTGTAATACATCCACAATTAAATTTTCAGTGTATTTTATTTAGTTTTTTTGTGTATATATGTACACATTATAAGTGATCTTATTTGTGGTATTTGCATCTCTATTTCTTGGTGCTGACAGAATATCAGGTTAAATCTTCATTTATAAAAGAGTATCTGCAGCCTCCTGTTGGTCCCTCTCTCTCYTTCTGTCTCTCTCTCTAGCTTTGCTTGATCCCATCAGCAGTAGAAGACTACTTAGTGATAATCATTAAGTGGATGGAACCACCTTATTCTGGTTAAGAGTGCCTGATCCTATGCATTTCACTTGCATTTTAAAGCTGAAGACAGTCACATGCTATTGAAAAGACTATTTTAACTCATTTTTGGTTTCAAGTTTCACAGTGTYGGTAATTTGCTCTTTGTGCAGACTTTTTTCTCAAATAGACATCTTTTTTTTAATATTTATTTTTTTAGTTTTAGGTGGATACAATATCTTTATTTTTATGTGGTTCTGAGAATTGAACCCAGTGCCTCACATGTGCTAGGCGAGCGCTCTACCACTTGAGCCACAACCCCAGCACCTCAAATAGACATCTTTAAGTAGACCATTCCCTAGTCAAAATTTAGCCAAATTTTGTGAGAGACAAAAGATTTCTCCTATTATTACTTTTCATTTAAAGATCATAATTTTCTGTTTTTTTTTACTGAGACTCATTTGCAGTATCTTATGTCTCTATCTTTAAAGTAATAATAGTAGATGTTAAGCATGGATAGTGATTACAAAGGAAAAAAGTTATTCTTTTTGAAAGTAAATTTAACCTATGTTAATTTTGAGACTAAGTTCATGTATTGGTTGATCAGTGAGTACCAACACCATCCTGCTTATCTTTTTTCCTCCCTATTTACTCTGAATCCTGATTTCTTGTTTAACTTAAGAAAACAAAAAATTTTATTTTTGAAGGCTAGTTTGCTTTTTAGGTAGAGTATAAAAAGACATGTTAAATATTTTAAATGCCATAAATACACAATATTGTGCAAAGTTCTATAGTAATGTGCTTTGAAAGGGGATCTTCAAAATGATGTGAGCATTAGAGAAAAATTCTGGAAAAAGAGAATTGTCATTCCTGTTTTTTCACTGAAGCTCCTCCGAGTTCCATAGCCTAATGTTTGAAATTATTTTAAAGGAGCTATTTTATATTTTACAATCTTGCTGATAGAGGAGGGTATAAAATTATTCTACCTGAAACTAGCCGGCCAGTATAAGCAGCAATTAGGCTATCTGTGTTTTTTGAGAGTCCCCAGTCTTAAAAATGGTAACTAGAAAGAGGAAAGTGACACCAGCTGCTATTGAGCAATAATTGTTGTTCATTTGAATTACAATTCTCCTTGGCCCTCCACCTGCTTTCTTACTGGTCTGGCCTACCTTCTTTCAGGCCCAGGCCTGGGAGTGCTTGCAAGATATAGTTGGGGTAAAATGTTGACTTTTGGTGGACACCACGGAGTCACATTGATGCAGATAAGGCACATGGCTGTGGCAGGATTCAGCTCCTTCATCAATTTTCAGGTTAGTATGGCTGAATCAATTATAGTTTGTAGACGTTTCCTTATTGCAGACTGTACTGGCAGTTGAGACTGGGATCTTTCGTCCATGAGAGACATGGTGATATGCCACATTACTTTGGAATACAATGATGGACATGGTTGCAGTCATAAAGAGAACCAGCTGTAGTTATTGGTTTAATTTATTCAAACTTTTATTTATTTTTTTTTTAGACAACCCTTCCTCAGACAGTTTTCTTGGCTCAGGCGACTTAAGAACCTTTGGCCAGAGTGCAAATGGCCAGTGGAGAAATTCCACTCCAGCATCAAGCTCAACTTTACAGAAATCCAGAAACAGCCGAAGTCTTTACCTCGAAACCCGAAAGGCCTCATGGTTGGTATTTTGTTTACCTCATTWTCAATCCTTTCCTTAGGTATAAGGGAAAATGGCTATAAGATAGTCGTTATTATTGGCATTTTAAATGAGTAGTACCATTTTTGGACTTATATGTTCAAATCTATTTTAAACTTTCAACTTTTAGTTTATTTGGGCTGAATTTTGGTGATAGCCAAATCTTTTCATTAGATGAGATTTTTAAGGTAAATCTTGATAGAAATAAGCATATTAGTATCCTTTGAGATAAATATGGCTATTAGGAGTTTTAAAGTGAAAATCAGTTTCTGCAACTTGAGTAGCAAAGAAACCAGCACATTTTATAGTTTTTCAAATGAGCAGAGACTTGACAAACTAAAGCAGATCTACACCTTATGCATTAGTCAACTATACCTAAACTAACTTCTGTTAGAGAATCACAGAAAACTTTATCCTAGTGTATAAGCCCACCTATTCCCTTACCAAACTTATACCAGTTATTAAAGGCAGATGAAGTTTAGCTTAGAAATTTTACTGCAGGTACTTTATTATATTAGTAAAGTATGTCTTTAAAAAAAWTTTTTGTTTTTTTAGTTGTAGTTGGACAAAATACCTTTATTTTATTTATTTTTATGTGGTGCTGAGGATCGAACCCAGTGCCTCACACATGATAGGCAAGTGATCTGCTGAGCCACAACCCCAGCCCAAGTATGTCTTTAACAGAATTTAGGACTTCTTAAACTTTCGGGTAACAAATTTCAGGAATGTGAGATCATTTAATTTTCTGTTTAATCAAGGCTTTCTGATGTTGATTGAAATCGAAAAGATAATTTTTTTTTTTTTTGGTACTAGGGATTGAACTCTGGGGCATTTGACCACTGAGCCACATCCCCTTTCCTATTTTGTATTTTATTTAGAGACATTGTCTCACTGAGTTGTTTAGTGCCTCGATTTTGCTGAGGCTGGCTTTGAACTCGAAATCCTTCTGTCTGAGCCTCCTGAGCTGCTGGGATTACAGGTGTGTGCCACTGTGCCCGGCATGATTTTTTTTTTAACTTTATGATTATCAGCACATGGACTTTGGGAATAGGTCTCAATTGCTTTACTACTTTTTAATTTTTTTAATTATATAAAAATTAATTACCAGGCTGGGGTTGTGGCTCAGTGGTAGAGCACTTGCTTCACCTGTGTGAGGCACTGGGTTCAATTCTCAGCACCACAAATAAATAAATGAATAAAGTTCATCAGCAACTAAAAAAAATATTTTAAAAGATTAATTACATTATAGTGTAAAAAATCAAAACATTACCAATAAAAATTAGTGACCACCACCCACAATCTCATTTTTCCAAATTAGTGTTTCCTTCCAGACCTTTTCCTGTGCTTATTTCTCTCTCACTGTTTCTCACTCATATRTAGCATGATGTATGTGATATGTATACTATGGAAATGTTTGATTGTTATCTTCATTACAGATTCCTATATACATTATTCAGTAAGTTGGTTTTCTAATGGAATAATGCCATACTGATAACTTTAAAAATTGTTACAGAAACAATACATATGCTTAGTAAAAAATTAGAAAATATAACTAAGCAAAAATAAAAACAAAATATGACATCTCCACCAGCTTGAAAGCAACTCTGTAATATTTTTGTTCAGATATTTTCTCTGCCTTTACATAGATAATCTTAAATTAGTTCATATTGTACATATCCTTCTGTATTCTTTTATCTTTTTTTTTTTTTTTTGGTACTGAGAATTTAATCCAGGGGCACTTTACCACTGAACTATATCACCCCACCAACCTTTTTTACTTTGGTACAGGGTCTCAGTAAGTTGCTTAGGGCCTCACTAAATTGTTGAGGCTGGTCTCAAACTTGCAATCCTCCTGCCTTATCCTCCCAAGTTGCTGGGAATATAATCTGCTTTTTTGGTCAATCTTCTCTTCCTTTCCAATTTGGTCTAATACACTAAATTTTATTTTAATTTTCTCAGTTAACTCCAAAGTATCTTTTATATCAAGTTAGTCCAAATCAGTATCTAATCTAAGATTGCATGTGGTAGTTATTTCCTGTAAGTCTCTGGTAGTCTGTGACATCCGCTATTTTTTTTTAGTRTCATGACATTTTTCTGTTCCACCTTTTGAATTTGACAGGTTGCTTCCTTTGGTATCCTTATTTTGTTCTTTGTCCCTGCTATATTTACAAAAAATATAGCTTGGGCTGGGGAAGTGGCTCAAGCAGTAGTGCGCTCGCCTGGCATGCGTGCGGCCCGGGTTGGATCCTCAGCACCACATATAAAGATGTTGTGTCCGCTGAAAACTAAAAAATAAATATTAAAATTCTTTCTCTCTCTCTCTCTCTTAAAAAAAATTWAAAAAAAAATATAGCTTGTAAACTTGATTTTGGCTTGAAGAAAAGATGATGCTATATTATGACACATTAGAAAACAAACAGTATCTTATGTTGGTTTTCGTATCATTAGTGATACTAGATTGACTTTGGATTTAGGGAAATGGCAGTGTGGTCCCTAATTGTATAGTTAAGGTTTTCCCTTTGTGATTAGAAATGTAATCCAAATGATGTTATTTTATCATTATAGGAAGAATCATTTTCACATTAGCCATTTAGCTAATAGTTATTATTATCAATTGATAATCTGTACCTGACAGTTATTTTATTGTAGTTAATGAAGTAATATTTTTTCTAATTATTTCTTTTTTTTTGTATCATTGGCAGTTTGAATTTTCAGTTATTTGATTACCATGAAATGTATTACCTATGGAAAAGACAAGATAAATGAAAATAGTCACTTCACTTGTGTAAATTTCTTTCTGTTCTATTTTGAGTATCATAGATACAGTGTGTTTAATATTCACTACAATTTTTATGCTTTTAATGCTCCCATTCTCACAACTTGGGAATGGGATTCCCTTCAAGCTTGCTTCTGTCTGTCTCTGTTTGTCCCAACTTCATTAGTTTTTCATAGCACCCTTGTTTTCTGGYATTCTGACATTGCATGACACCCTCATATTGGTTTTTTAGAAAAAGAATCTTTTATATTAAAAACATGCACATTCTAGTAGACACAAATAACAAAAGACTTGTGAATAATCAGTTATATCCTTTTTTGGGGGGTATCAGGGATTGAACTCAGGGGCACTCAATCACTGAGCCACATCCCCAGCCCAATTTTTTATTGTATTAGAGACAGGGTTTCACTGAGTTGCTTAGCGCCTCACCATTGCTGAGGCTGGCTTTTTTTTTTAAAAAAACATCAAATTGTATACTTTATTTTTATGTGGTGCTGAGAATCTGAAGCCAGTGCCTTGCAGATGCCAGACAAGCACTCTACCTCTGAGCCACAACCCCATCCCCCCTGAGGCAGGCTTTGAATTTAGAATCCTCCTGCCTCAACCTCCCGAGCTGCTGGGATTATAAGCGTGTGCCTCCGCACCAGATCATTATATCCTTTGTAAACAATTTGTCATCTTTTTATAGTGGTACCTCCCAAGCCTAAGAAAATAAGCCTGTTCCTGAAATTGAGTCTTTGCTCCCACTCCCCTTCTCTTGTGTTATAGAGGATTGAACCCAGGGCCTCACACATGCTAGGCAAGTGCTTGCTCTATCACTGAGCTACATTCCCAACCCAAGTTCTTGCTCATTTCCCCACTCTAGCACTCTTTAAAAAAAAAAAAAGTTTGAAAAGTTAAGAGAGTATTATTATGTGTTTTTTGATTTTCATTAGACCTATTCATTCCACTTGGATTCAGACCACATGTAATGATGTAAAGAGTTGATTGCATTGAATTCAGCTTAGTCAGTGGTGTAACACTATTCTGAGTCGTCAGCAGGAAAAAAAGAAAAAGAAAAATTAATTATGGTAATAGTAAGTACCACAAACTTGCTGGGTAATGATAGATAAAAAATATCACATAGAAAAAACTTAAATTTATTAAGCCTTAGAGATATGACTGGGCTTTTGAGTTCACAGAAATTTTTCTTGCCACTTTTTCCCATATGATAGGGCACAAGTAATAAAAAGAAACAAAACCAAAATTTTCAGAGACTGGTGAAACCAAAAAATTCACAATATTGTAGCCTAATAAAAAGTGTTCTATTTTTAATGAAGGGTGGGAGCCCCCTGTTGGTCTTTCAGGAAATTTAAAAAGTCAGTTTAAAAGTTAATTGTGAGGTTTCAGCTCTCCATTTTTAAATATTTAAAGTAAATCCATCAAAAGGGCTTGGGACACAGGGTTGTAGAGTAATAGAACATGTATGTATAGGGCTGGAGGTATAGCTCAGTGGTAGAACATTTGCCTAGCATGCACATTGCCCTTGGTTCATGTATGTTTATGTATGTTTAGCATATCTAAAATTCAGATTTTCCAAAGAAATCTAGTCTGATTTGCTATCTGTCATACCACACCACTATATGGTTCTTAACTGAAGGGAGTTATATATTATGGATCTAAGAAACATGATTATGTTTGATTATGTATGTTTTGGTAGTTTAAGACCTTTTTTAAGGGCAGACCTTTTAAGTGGCTACGACCCTTTGTGTCAATTTATCATTCTGTTTTAGTTGTTTCTAGAAAGTGAATAATGACTAGATTTATTTTAACTGTTTTTATCTTTCTTACAAACTTTTTATTTTTTAGTGGAATATCAAACACTTTTACAGGAAAGTCAAACCATCACTGCCACATGTCTGCGTATGAAAAATCTTTTCCTATTAAGCCTGTTCCAAGTCCATCTTGGAGTGGTTCATGTCGTCGAAGCCTTTTAAGCCCTAAGAAAACTCAAAGGCGACATGTTAGTACAGCAGAAGAGGTAAGGAAAACCTGAAACAAAAGCTGCTAAAAGTTAGGATCTTTTGTTACCTCTGATAAGATGTTTATACTTACTCTATTTACTTAATCCTTTCTGTGTTTTTTCTTCTTATTTACTTTTCTTGAATTCTGTCATCTCGACTAAAGGAATTAAAGACCTATTTTATCAGAATTATATTATTTTTCTTCCCATCGTCTGTTCCTGTTGTGTGACTGGCTTTACTTTCCTTATTACCCTAATGGCTTCTCATACACCAGTCTGTCACTCTTTCTTGCTCGCTCTTTCTCTTTTTTCTCTGGAGACTCCTTAAATTTTTATTTCCAGTGGCAAAACTATTAACTTGCTAAACAGTTTTTGTTTTGATAAAATTTGATAGAACACCTGTCCTTCCCACTAGGATGAATTTTTCCTAAATATGAAAGAAAAAAAAAAGACCATGAAATGATTTATAGCCTTTTATTTTGGGTAAGATCTTTGAGATGCTGGATTTCCCCCATCCCCTGCAAAAAGATGTTTTGGTGACACTTAAGTTGTTATATTCATTCAATAAACCTAAAGAAAAAAATCAAATTTTGTAAATACAGTACCGCATGTAATTTGTACAATAGGAATCAGGGTTTTTCCTGTTCAGTTGCATATTTACTATATATCTATTTAGCATCTAATTTATTACATATCTAATTAACTGGTTATTGTGAAAATAGAAATGAATAATTAATAACTTTACATTTATACTGGATTAATGTTTATAGTGTGCTTCCTACACATATTATTATGCTGAGTTCATTAACCCAATGAAATAGGTAAAAGTGAGTTAGTATCCATATTTTCCAGATTTGGAAAGTAGAAGAGATCACAAATCTAGTAATGGCAAGCCTAGAACCCAGGTCTTGTGAGTAAGTCTCTTCTGGTATGCCTTCTTTTTTACAACATAGTGATATGATTCTTGCCTAGTGGAGATTACTGAGAATGGACACAAGATTATAGTACTATTTGCTAAATAATTGCAAAATTTGGTAATTGAAGATTTCTTAGGTGTCAAAGGACTTTAATAAGGACTTAGACTTTTTACTTGGATTTACAAATGTCCAATGGGTAATTAAAAACAGGATAAAAGACTTTGCATCTCTGCTTCCATTTTTCATCTGTCTTCTTTGCTCTGGCATAAGCACAAATCACTTGGATTCCAGGAATAATAGATCTGATCCATAAAGGTATAGAAACTACCCCCTCATAATAGCAACTTATCTCTGATAAGATTCTTTCCCATTCTGAGATAATGATCAATCAGTTTGACCAATACTGTTTGCTTATGCATATTTCTATGTTTACTTGTCTTTATGGAAGCTCAGGTCAGTATCCCTGAAGACACGATAAAAGATGCCAGTCCCCTTGTCTTCTGGTGTAACCTATACTGATTAAAGTCTCTTTTCTGCCTTTCCCATTACTTTTTCCATTTGGTTTTTGGGGGCTAGTGGGCCTCTCAAGTAACAAAACCTGATTATTGTGAAGTAGTTTGGCAAATGTTTAGTAAAAATGTGCATTTTAAAAGTTTTATTTCATCTAAAATATTCAAGGGAAGAATGGCAGAACTAGTAACTCATTTTGTAGGGCAAAAGCTAAACAAGAAACTGGCAACATTTACCTTTGATGATAAGAGCTGGGCAACAATGATGAAAGGGTGATTTATTTTTTATTATATTTTTGTACTATTGAATTTTGGATCATATGTATTAGTTATTACAAACTAAGTAATGTTTTCTTAGTTACTGAACTTACGGGGCTTGTGCTTATGCCAGAGCTTAAAGAGTACAGAAAGACTGGGGAAGGAAACTGCAGCAGCGTAGCAGCTGAGTAATCTCCATATGATCAACATAAGATTGACATTTGCCCATCAGCTACTCCTTTGGACCACCCTCGATCCCCTTGGACTGACTATTTACCCCTCCAGCCAACCCCTCAAGGCACAGGCTAAATCAGGACTTGAGGCTGTAGTTTCTCCTTCCTACTACAGTGCAAAGAAGATGCTAAGGATTGAACCTAAGTAATGAAATGAAGTGCAGGAAATCTTTCCTCAGTTGATTTTTGATCTGTATCTACTATGAAAAGCAAGCCACTTGTACTATAGAATAATCCATAGGAGTAGACAAATATTAAAACAACTTTAGTATCAAACTTAGAGCAAATTATTTAAATATTGAGTCTCTGGCATTACCAGTAATACAGAAATAATACATTTTCTCCTTATGAATAGAGAATTAATTGATGGAAACTTATGAACTGGAGAAAATGTTATTTCCATGGGAATGTTGGGATCTCCAAGAGAGATATATTTGCTTCTGTTTAAACAATGAAAATTGGCAGCATACTACAGTGACATAGCCACATTAATGTTTATAGCAGCTCAATTCACAATAGCTAAGCTATGGAACCAACCTAGGTGTCCTTCAACAGATGAATGGATAAAGAAAATGTGGTATATATACACAAGGGAATATTACTCAGCCATAAAGAAGAATGAAATTATGGTATTTGCCAGTAAATGGATGGAACTAGAGACTATTGTGCTAAGTGAAATAAGCCAATCCCCCAAAATCAAAAGCTGAATATTCTCTTTGGTATGTGGATGCTAACACACAATAAAGATGGGAGGGGGGAGAATAGAAGTTCATTGGGTTAGTCAAAGGGGAATGAAGGGAAGGGGCGGTGGGAATAGGAAAGATAGTAAAAGGAATTGGACATAACTCCTATGTTCATATATGAATACATGACCAGTGTAACTCCACATCATGTATAACCACAAGAATTGGAAGTTATACTCCATGTATGTATAATATGTCAAAATACATTCTATTTTCATGTATAATTAAAAAGAATAGAAAATATGAAGATTGGGTATCAATGCTGGATTTATCTGTCAAATTTAGAAATGTGAAGCTATTTACAAAATTAAGATGATGCTGCCTCTGAATTGTTTGTTCAGACTTACGACAGGAATTTGAAAGAATTTGGAAATCTCCAAGTCGTGGCTATACAGAATAACTGATTAAGAGTATAGCATTGAGGAGCTGTGCTGTCCATTTGGGATAACCAGTAACCACAAGTGTTATTTAAATTAATTCAAATTAAATGAAATTAAAAATTTAGTTTCTCAGTCACAAGCCACATTTCAAGCATTCATTAGTCACATGTGGGTAGTGGTTACCATATTGCACAGCACAGTTATAGAACATTTCCATTATCACAGTTTTTGTTATAGAGGATGTAAATTTCTGTTAGAAAAAGAGAAAATACTAGCAACAATACAAAATTTAAAGGGTAAGAACACAGTTTTTTCAATTACATATTGCTTCCAGACATGCTTCTCTGTAACTTATTGAGCATTTTAAGATGTTAGATTTTATATAAATGGCAAGGAGAGTTTTATTTTTTTCTCTTCAGTGCTTTACAGTTTTGTCATAAACAATGCATTTGAATTTAATAGAAAATTATTGAGTGATATACATTTTGTACTTGAAATTTATTTGTATGTTTTAAAAGTTATTTAAGCAAAATAAAAGTTAGGGAGATTACAAAGTAATTTGGATAATTTGTAAAAATAATTGGCTTGTTAAGGTTCATTTTGTGCACTCTAAAAATTTTTATACTCTTACAGTTCAATTTTTTGATGGAGCCTCTTGCATAAATATCACCTAATTGTAGGAATATGTCACATATTTTTCTTAGTAGAATTCAGCACCTTAATTAATCTTACACTGTTTAAAATTTGGTCCTAAACTAAGTTTTTTAAATGTAATGTTAGACTCTCCTGAACTTCAACATATTATCTAATTATTGCTTCTTTTCCTCTTCATTTCCTAATTTCTTATTTAAGTATAAAAACACTTTAATAATATAGAAAGATGTGGTTTTTAAAAAATTTTATAGTACTAGATGCTTTAAAACAGGATTATATTTGATGTTTCAAGTGACTTACCGTTTTGTGCATTATTTGGTAAAACCAAATGTTATGTATGTTCTTTTGAAAGTTTCCTAAACTATCTTTTCTTTGTCAGAAGTAGTTCCAAATAGAACATAACGTTCATTTTTTTTGTTTTAATGAAAGAGAAAAAGTACCTACTATCATTAAAAAAAAGTCCTTGTGACCTCCAAATTAATATGTAAAACAATGAAAACTTTAAACTTTTAAAACTATAAATTAGTTTAAACTGGAAACATGAGGCTTTAAGGGTTTGGAATAAGGATAATCTATTCTTTTTTATTTTATATCCACTAGTAAGTATGAGATTGTTCAGGGTCAAAATCTTTTCTTTGAAGTTACATTTGTTGAGAAAATGATTTATAGGGGGACTAGTGTGTGTTAAATTACTTTTTAATTAGATCTTTAAATTGAATAATCTAGATTTCTCTTAATTTGTGTTAGTAAAGTTACTTTATGATCCCTTGGTTCTTTGTATCTTATAAATATAAAAGTTTATTCTGAGAAAATAGTTGGCTCTGTGATGTGAGAAAGAAGTGTTTTTAACTTTGGTGGTTGATACCTTTGGAACAAATATCTTTTCTGTTTCATTTACTCCATGTTCTTTTGAGATCTTTATGTGATGGAAATGATTTTCTTTTTTAAACATTCCCTTGGTATCAAGAGATGCTCTGCAAAGTAACGTCTCATACTGGGGTATATACATTGTTTCCCTCTATGATGTAATAAACAAAGGTTTTTTTTTTTTTTAAAAATATTTATTTATTTATTAGTTATTGGCGGACACAACATCTTTGTTTGTATGTGGTGCTGAGGATCGAACCCGGGCCGCTCGCATGCCAGGCGAGCGCGCTACCTCTTGAGCCACATCCCCAGCCCCCTAAACAAAGGTTTTTAAAATCCAGTTTGGTGGTACAGTGGATATGTACTAAAAGTGTTGGTTAATTAAGATTTAATTTTATGACCCAGGTGGCCTGATTTCCCTTCCCTCCTTTCATCTTAATTACTCTTGGAAACAGTCTATTGATAACTTTAATGTATGTTGATTAGGTTATTCGGTATACTAGAAGAGTTAAGACATATTTAGGATATACAGAAACTCCTGGTCCATAAAATGCCAGCTAACACAGATTTCCTGCACATAGAAGATCACTGTTGAGTTGATCAACAGACTGTTCTTACCATCTAATAATCTATAATAATGTGTTTTCATTCTGCTCTTAAAAAATCTTCATAATGGCAATTTAAGAGTATAGAGAAAAGTTTTTCAAGTGTTTTCTTTTCAGTAGAATAGCCAAAAATAACAGATTTGGTTATTGATATTATTTTATACCTGGTAATGTCTGTTTCTAGCCTTATTTTTGTGCCATCATGGAGGTGCCAGCCCAGTACTGTAAATAGTATTTTCACAAACTGTAGAAAGGGAGGTCACTATCATCTTGAATACAGTATTAATATCTAAGGGATAAAATAATGGAGGTTTTTTTTCCGCCCACATACAGCATTGCAAGATTTTGTTGTTGTGGGTTTTTTGTTTGTTTCTTTGTTTTTGTTGTTGTTTTTCCTCTTGGGTCTGTTCTTTCTTTTCTAACTTAGCTGTACACCTTTTTTTTTTTTTTTTTTTTTTAGAGAGAGGAGAGAGAGAGAGAGAATTTTCAATATTTATTTTCTAGTTCTCGGCGGACACAACATTCTTGTTGGTATGTGGTGCTGAGGATCGAACCCGGGCCGCACGCATGCCAGGCGAGCGCTCTACCACTTGAGCCACATCCCCAGCCCAGCTGTACACCTTTAAGGATAGTTTTTTTTTTTTCTCAAAGGAGTTGTCATGTCTCACAGTTTAAGTATATTCTAGTAGATGAGTAACATCTATAAACATCGGCAATGTAATTATAATTTACTCTGTAGCAACAACTAAAGATTCAAGAAGAAAAAATATTAGTATTTATTTGCCTTTGTAATTAATCATTTAATTCATTTGGCTTTTAACAAATATTTGTAATTGAATAAAATACTTATGCACGTATTGTATGTCACTGCAAGGTGCTGCTAACCCTACCACCATGTTTAAAATTATTGTGTAGTTATTTTACAGTTTGTAAGATTTTAAAAAAATAACTGAAACTTCTTGAACACAGTCCATTGCTTCAGGGGATCTGTATAGAGTAGTAGATGTTTTACATGGTTACAGTAAATAATGATGTAATGAACTGACATAGTAATATCACTAATATTATTTTATTCTTATGCAGTGTAGTTCTTGGCTAGGTGACCTTATTTCTTTCTACCCTTCCCTTCATTCACACTGACCTTACCACTTCTTGAATACGTCAGGCACATTCCTATTTCAGGGTTTTGCATTTGCTGTTCCTCTATCTGGAATATTCTTTTACATATAGATTTGGGGAAGGAGTTGAACTCAGGGGTACTTTACCACTATCCTCAGCCCTTTTTTATTATTWTTTTTTTTAATTTTGAGACAGGGTTTTGTTCAGTTATTGAGGGTCTTGCAAAGTTGCTGAGGCTGGCCTCAGACTTGCCATCCTTGTGCTTCAGTTTCCCAAGTCGTTGGAATTACAGCTATATTACCTCTCAGCCTAATGTACAACAATTCTTAATTACCTTTAGTAGTCTGCTTGAAATTTGACTGAACTTCTGGGATCTCATCTAGATGCTACTTTGAGAAATACTTGTCTCATTGAATGTATTTAAGATCTTTATTTTTTTGTCTTATAGACAGTTCAAGAAGAAGAAAAAGAGATCTACAGACAGCTGCTACAGATGGTCACAGGGAAACAGTTCTCTGTAGCCAAACCCACCACACATTTTCCTTTACACCTGTGAGTTACAGAAGCATCTTTTTAGATTAATTTAATTCTACAATTTGCTATTTGATATTCAAACTATATCGTTCTTTTGCTAGGTCTCGATGTCTTAGTTCCAGTAAGAATACTTTGAAAGACTCACTGTTTAAAAATGGAAATTCTTGTGCATCTCATGTCATTGGTTCTGATACTTCATCATCTGGATCTGCCAGCATTTTAACTACCCAGGAACAGCGGTCTCACAGTGCATATTCCTTACCGTCATATACCCCAGATGTTCCATTTGGATCCACAGATTCTGATCCTTGCCATCAACCCCATCATCACCACTCTCTTCCACATCAACCAGATAATTTACCAGCATCAAACACACAATCTGAAGGTAAAAATTATATTGTATAACTGTATTTTTAATTCTAACAGCCAGTTAACTTTATCTGGATTGATTATTGGCAACATTGTAAATGTACACATAACATACATATACACTATATATACATATATGAGACTTTAAAAACATAATTCAACTAATCATGCCATGAGCAAGCTAAACATACAAGTAAAATAATGAAATACAACTTTTTCCTTTTTTCTTACTTTTTTTGGGGGAGGTGGTACTCTTTTCTTACATCAAATTGTAAATGATTTGATATAATATCTAAATGACAAATTGCCTGAGGCAGAACCTAGAATCAGAGTACATCCAGCCCAGTTGCTTCAGCACTTTTCCTGTTTCTTAATTACTTTGCAATGAAAATCAAGTAAACTGAAGTTCTAGGAGTTTTGAGATATCAAAAAAGTATTGAAGTATAAGTATTTAACATATAATACTAAGCCATTATAGGTTTATGCATTTTAGAATGATGGTCAGCAAGTTTTGGAGAGAGTTTTTTTTCCTGACTTTTGGCATTGGTCATTAAGGTTTTGCTATAATAGTTCTCTCCATTTTTTGGTATGTATTATGGTACACTTGTACATATTTAGGTATGTAACTTAAAACAAATTGTGGGTTAAATGGTCAGACATTAGGAATCTTGATAGATTGAGCACAAGACTTTTCCTCCTTCCTCAATTCATTTGATTTTTTTTTTAATCTTTTTTGTTTGTTTGTTTTAATTCTCACTTGAGGATTAAAATTTTTGGTGACATCATGGGGGCTGGGGTTGTGGCTCAGTGGTAGACGTTTGCCTTGCACATGTGAGGCACTGGGTTTGATTCTCAGCACCACATAAAAAATAAATAAAGTATTATGTTCATCTACAGCCAAAAAAATATGAAAAAAAAATTCTGGTGACATCACCATGGTGGCATCATTATATAGTTACACATACCCATGAAAACTTGTATTACATTTTTGAAGTTATTTATTTAATAGAAGGTGGGGCAGAGCTGGGGAAGTGGCTCAGTGGTAGAGTGCTTGTGTAGTGTGGGTGAAACCTGGGGTTTCATACCTAGGACTGTACAAAAAAGTCAAAACAATAAAATTTTAACCTCAGAATCATACATTGTATGGCAGATACTTAGATACAATTAGACTGAAACAAATATACTACATTGCCCTGTTTAATTCTCTCCTTGTACCACTTAATAAATACTCTAAATGAGGTTCTAATCATAGCACTTTATAAGTATATGGTTGCTGCCCTAGAGGAGTATTTGTTCCAGAAACAAATGATATAATGATAAAATTTGTATGTTATAGAGTCCTCCTATAGTACTATCTCTATCTTTCCCTCCCCTTTCCCTTCCCTTCCTTTCACCTAATTCATTTTCATGGGTCCATCATGAGCTTAAGACTGCATGTTCTTATTTTCCAAGTATAATTGTATTTTTAATTTTAACAGCCAGTTAACTTTATCTGGATTGATTATTAAAAGAAAGCACAGGGAGTAAGCACATCCCAAGAGTGGACCAAAAGGGCAAATATGCTTGTATTTCAGAGTGACTTCTTCTTTGTAAGACAAGCTCTTCACTAAGACCTATTAATGGTCTCAGTGAAAGAGACCTGTCTCTCTTTCTCTTTCTTACTATCTTTGTCCTAATGCTGTTATTTTTGGGGAAATAGAATATAATAAAGTTTAGGAATTTGAACTAAGACAAATAGAAGATATAACGGTGGAATTTTATTAATCATTAAATGCTCTTGTRTTTCTTTGTTTAGGATCAGACTCTGTGATTTTACTCAAAGTGAAAGAGTCTCAGACTCCAACTCCCAGGTAAACTTAGGAAAAAGGTCGTTCTCTCTCTCTCTATTCTAATTAGTTATACATGACAGCAGAGTGCATTCGATTCATTGTATACAAATGGAGCACAACTTTTCATTTCTCTTATATACAATATAGAGTGAAAAGGTCATTCTTAACTTATAATTTTCCCTTTGTTTAACCAAAATTTCTTTACTAAGAGTTGTGTAACACAAAATTGCCTCAATTCAAACCTTTCTCATGTATTATTTGAATTTCAGTGACTTCCTAATTGATCATCTTTCCTCCAGCCTTCCTTTTGTTCTTCATTTCATCTTCCACCATACTATGTTTGTTAATTCATTTTCAACCTTATTCTTTCATCCATTTTCGTGCTGTAACAAAGTGATCTTTCTAAAATTCTTCTACTTTGTTCTTCAGTTCATTTTCCATGCTATAGCCAGAGTGATCTTTCTAAAATATCTGATCATTCATTAAAGGAATTTATGACCATTTTTTAAACTCTTTCAAGGGTGGTTTATTAGACATAGAATTAAACCCAAACTCCTTAGTATTGTATAGTGAGCACTTCCTCCATAAGCCTTACCTTCCATTGCACATTTCTTTAACAAGTATTTAAATATTAAGAGTCTACTATGTGCCAGGTACTGGAATAGACAATGGGGATAACAGCAGAGAAAAGAAGTCTCTGCCCTCAAGGAGTTGTATTTTAGATGAGGGAAGTGATAGGAGACAAGTAGGGAGCACATAAACATATATGTCTAGTAGTTATAAATGCTGTAAAGAAAAACGGACTAATATGTAGGCTAGGGTTGGAGAAAATTACATATATAGAGTAGTTGAGGCAAGTCTTCAGTCAAGTGCCAGCTGAGTAGAGTCATAATGAAAGTGAGAGGAAGCCATGTGGAAATATGAGACTCTTTTCATATATTTTCAAATGCTGAATTTGTTTTAGTTTTTAAATATGATATGCTTTTTTTTGCCGATTTTTTTTTTCTGCCTGGAATATTCTGTCAACTGGTCTAACAGTAGTCTCTTTTATCTTTAAATTGCATTTCAAGAGTGACTTACATATGAAACTTTACTTCTCTGGAAGGTGTCAATACTTCTCTGGGAGGTGTCAAGTACATCTCCCTCTGTAATCCACTAGCTTATTACTTAGAATTCTTTGCCATATTATGGTCTTGGCATTTCAGTTGCTAGAATGGCAGTATTAGTTTTCCATTGAGGAGATTAGAGATAATAAAATGTTCTTTCTCATTTAATTTCTACTACATTTTTGCAGCTCCCCCATTCATTCTAAGCTTTAAGTATTCATTAAAATTTTCTGTTGAGTGTCTCAGGGAGACTTTGTAGTTTGGGTTCTTTATTTCTTAGTTTTTCAGAGTCGGACCTGACTTCTGATCTTGGCTCTTTCAGGCTTCCTGTAACTTTGAAGAAGTTATTCTTCTGAACCTCATATTACTTATAAATAAAATGCCAGTATTAGTACTCTACCATTGAATTATGTGAAGAAGAACTTACAGATAAAGCATTTTAAAAGTGTTTCACAGCCAGGCATGATGGCACATGCCTGTAATCCCAGCCACTCAGGAGGCTGAGACAGGAAGATCTCAAATTCAAAGCCAGCTTCAGCAAAAGCAAGGCATTAAGCAACTCAGTGAGACTGTCTCTAAAGAAAATGCAAAATAGTGCTGGGGATGTGGCTCAGTGGTCAGGTGCCCTTGAGTTCAATCCCTGGTACCCCAAAAGAAGTAGGTTTTCTCTCTCAGGAAGAAATTAATCAAAGATAGAGTGCTCTCACTAGGCTGAGGGTGTGGTTTAGTGGTAGCACGCTTGCTTAGCATGTGTAAAATCTTGGGGTCGATCCCTAGCACTGTTAGAAATGTAAAAAGACTTCCTCAATGATTCTTTACTAAGTCTTTTCCTTTATGGAGGACGTCTAGTGATAACTAAAGAAAGAGATGAAGGAGAAATGGTCTGTTGGGTAAGATTGATTACGTGATACTATTTGTTGAAAATGGAACCTAGTCATCACCCAATACTGATCATAGTGCCTGACATGTGATGGGTGCTTAGAAAATAAATCTTTGCTAAATAAATGAATATCCTAGAGAGCCTGAAATACTCTAAGTAGCCCTAGTACTCTTTTTTTCCCTTTTTGCTTAATGAGTCAGTCTACTGAAAGGCATTTAACCACAAGTATAAAGAACACAGTCTTCGGAATTAGATAAGATTTCTAATCCTGGCTATTCCAAGACAAATTATCCTTCTGAACCCGAGTTTCCTTTTCTGTATATATATATTACATATATATTAAGGATTAAATAATATGGGGCTTATCATGAAGCTTCACTAGTATGTAAAACACCTAGAGCAAAGTTTTACATATGGAGCACCAAGTCAGTGTTCAAAATATAGTTGTAGTTAGCCAGGCACAGTGGCGCATGCCTGTAATCCCAGCAGCTCAGAAGGAGAGGCAGGAGAATGGTGGGTTCAAAGTCAGTCTCAGCAACTTAGTGAGACCCTGTCTCAAAAAATGTGTGTGTGTGTGTGTGTGTGTGTGTGTGTGTGTGTATATACACACACATGTACACACATACACATATAGTTGTAGTTATTACTATTACTGTATGCTTCATTTCTATGAGAAGTAATATATAATCTCTTTGGAAAAGGAAATTTCCCCTATTTGGCTTTCCTGAGACAGTAGATACCTTAATCCATTGAAGAGAAGTACTTGCCCCTGCATTATTCTTTCATTCAAATATTAAGTGTCTGCTGTGTGCAAGGAACTATTCTAGTTGCAGAAGATGTGGTAGTTTATAAAATAAAAAGTACTTTTCTGTCTTTATCAAGTTTTTGTTTTAATAAGGAAAGCCAGATTTTAATAGCATGATCCATTACTGTGAAATTTCTTTATATCATGTAATAAACACCTTCTCATGTTCATTTATTTTTAGTACCATACACTAAACAGCCCTCACAGTGCTACCACTGTTCTCTGTGGCATTCTGTCTTGGTCTTATCATATCAGGTGTCATTGTGCCAAGGGGATAGGCTGTCATTAATGACAATGACAATGCAGAGGCAGTGGAATAGCAACCTAAGGATTACTGGGGATACGAACTCTCCAAAGTTAGACTAAGGGGCAAGGGTTATCCTCTGAGCCCTTGTTAGTACCCTTTCTAGGAGAGATTATAGATATTTAAGAACTTATGCCCATGTCTCTTACTCAAAATTATAAAACTAAATGGGGACAGCTCCAGGAGATGTAGGTCTCTTAACTCCCTATTTAATGCTCTTTTTACTTGTTCTATCTAAGTTTCTTCAGAAAAGTGTTTAATTCTCTTTCAGTTGTTTCTGTGATAGATTCCTTAGTTAGGGGTTTTCAAGGAGTTGAAGTCAAGAAAAACAAGAAGCAGTTGGGACAGTTAACATGCCTGTGACACCATTAAGCATTATTTACTTAGATTGGCAGTAGGAACTACAGTGGAATTGATCTTTTAGCTCTGGAATGGATTTGCATTGTTCTTCTCTGCTTTGGCCTTCATTGACTTATTAGCTATTTGATAGGGAATATTTGGTGGTTGGGAATGTTCAGCAACTATTATGATTTGGATGGATACTTTTTGACTTTGACTGACAAGAAATACAAGAATCCCTAAGATTTGAGTAAATCATTAATAAATCTGTCAGCATAAATCATTTAATAAGAGTAAAGTTCTAGCTTAATATATTATCTTGAATAGTAATGTGCTTTTTCACATACTGTCCTCTCATGCAATTGGGGAACTATGCTAAACTTAATTGGGTGATCTTTTTTCTTTTTTTAATTGGGTGATCTTTTTAAGAAATGTGTAAGCAGATGACTCATTTGTGTTCTTTTCTTCTCAGAGATAATATTTTTACAACTTTATTCTCAGATAATATTATAGTTATCTTATGTCAATTAGGTACCTTATACTTATTCTATAAAGTATTATTATAAACTATATAAATRATTGCTTTTGTTGATAAAAATATTCAAGTTTTCTCATAAATCTCTCTGGCTCATTTTTTCCTCCCACCTATAGTCCTACTTTCTTCCAGGCAGAGCTGTGGATCAAAGAATTGTAAGTTATTTGTTTTTAGTATGATTTTTCTTTCTCAGTCACTTCATTTTCAGTTAGAAGAAGAGAAACAATTAGCTAATCATCCTGATTATCTTTTTATTTGTCATTAAGAATTACCTATTTGAACTCCAAAGTTTACTGAGTTTTAGAAATTCTCTCAGAATTGGGATATTTCTATTTTTATGTTTATTAAATTATAGCAATCGTTGAAACTAAATTGAATTGGAAAAATATTTCAAAGTTAGACATTATATATAAAGGAAAATATATGTTTTTATTTTGACACTGGTAAAACTAACTTATTTACTGAAGGCATTTAGTTTCCAGTTCCAAGAACTAACTTTTAGTTTTTTAAACCCTCTGCTCTTTGTGACTTTTTACAATACTTTAAATACAATGTGTATATATTTTAATACAACAATGTGTTTTAACTAAAACTTAATTAATATCTTATTTGGGATACAGAATGAAGTTTCATTTTCACATAATTTTAGAAGCATGTTAGAAAGGGGCTCATGGACTTGGGTTGTGTCTTAGTGATAGAGCACTCGTCTAGCATGTGCAAGGCCCTGGGTTTGATCCTCAGCACCATATAAAAATAAATAAACAAAATAAAGGTATTGTGTCTAACTACAACTAAAAARTAAATATTAAAAAAAGTGGCTACACAATTATAAATATTTACAAAAGTCACCTGTTCACATTGAGCAGTACACTAGGAGACAATCATTTCAGTCAAAGTGGTGAGATAATTTCATTAACTATGTCGTTTTACTCTGTGTCTTAAAATATAAATGTGATGAGGCATAAGTTAGTGTAAGGTCTTTCTGTGTAAGGGTTCTGTATTTGATGTTCACTGCATGTCAACAGTGTTTTGATCCCAAGAGGGTGATCTCCATTTGTGTCATTTTTGTTTTCACTTTATAGAACTAGTGTTTATGATTCTCGTGCTCGGGAAAGATTGCGCCAGATTGAAGAGCAGAAAGCACTGGCATTACAGCTTCAAAATCAGGTAAAAAGTATAGGGGCTAGGGTTGTAAGTCAGTGGTGTAGTGCTTGCCTTGAATGGGTGATGCACTGGGTTCAATTCTCAGCACCACATAAAAATAAATAAATAAAGATATTGTGTCCATCTACAACTAAAAAAAAAATCTTTAAAAAAGATTATAAATAAATAGCATGTCCAAATTGAAACTAGTTTAGAAGGTTATCTGGATTTGGGTAACTGCTGTTGTGATTGCAAGATTGTGTGTGGTGGCATAGCATTTTATGATGAGTGGTATATGTTCTTGGTCTTTCCAACTAGAACTACTCAGTATACATAAGTCAAATAGTAGATTTCCTTATTGCACTTATTCTGCTGTTCTGGTTTTCAGAGATTGCAGGAACAGGAACATTCATTACATGATTCAGTAGAACTGCATCTTCGTGTACCTCTTGAAAAGGAGATCCCTGTCACAATCTCCCAAGAAACAGAAAAAAAAAGTCATAAATTAACTGATAGTGAAGATGAATTCCCTGAAATTACRGAGGTAAAGTACATGCTGTAAATTCCTGCACTAATAAGTATTATATTTAGAAAGAATGCTCTGGACACTTTTAAACATAAAGTAATAGAATATGTGGTATTAAAATTTTATTGCATACTTCGMTGATTTTATTATACATCAATCTTTATTTTTAAAGGATTATTGAAAGTTGATGAAAAAATTGGGGGGTTGAGGGTATATATAGCTCATTGGTAGAATGCTAGCATATACAAGGCCTTGGGTTCAATCCTTAGCATTATAAGCAAAACAAAACCAGAAAAAAAATTATGTACCTGGTGAGCATAACACAATTATTGTAGTTGCCCTGGAGTACATATTTTATATTTTAAAAAGTAAAGCACAGGGCTGGTTATAGCTCAGTGGTGGAGTGCTTGCTTCACGTGTGAGGCCCTGAGTTCTATCCTCCACACCACATAAGAATAAATAAATAAAATAAAGGTATTATGTCCATCTACAACTAAAAATTAAAACACAAATTTTTCTAGGAAAATAGTATCTAAAGTACACTGCTTTTACTCCATTGCTACCTTTTGTGAAAGCTTTTTCTTAGGAAATAATTTGGACCAGAAATATAAAATATAGGGGGGAGGGCTTTTCTTTTCTTTTTTTTTTTTTAAATATTTTTTAGCTACACATAGACACAATATCTTTATTTATTTTTATGTGATGCTGAGGATCGAACCCAGTGCCTCACTTGTGCAAAGCAAGCGCTCTACCACTGAGCCACAACCCCAGCCACGGGGGAGGGCTTTTCATAGTCTTAGGAAATTTGATAAGAAAAGATTGTTTCACACTTTAGGAATTAATATAAAAAACAAGTATCTGGATATTGTAAGAATGGAGAACTAAATAGGATGGAAGGAAGTAATCAATGTTGGAATGGAATGGAAACCAAAATGTTAGTTAGAAGTAAACCGATTAACAGTAAATTGGTAAAACAGTTGACTAATATATAGCATGGGGAATTGGTGAGCAGTCTGATTTTGTCTGAAGCCATGTGTGTTTGATCTCTAACGTCCTTTGTTTTCCTAGGAAATGGAGAAAGAAATAAAGAATGTATTTCGTAATGGGAACCAAGATGAAGTTCTCAGTGAAGCATTCCGCTTGACCATTACACGCAAAGATATTCAAACTCTAAATCATCTGAATTGGCTCAATGATGAGGTAATCTTAAATTTTTTATATAGAAATATTTTATATAGAATTTATTTTATATAGAAATAGTAGATGAACATTAAGACATTATCTCACATTATCTTCCTTTCTGCATCTACTTGTTTTAGGTCACTTACATTATAAATGATAAACTTTCTAGAATAGTCTTCAGTGGTACATAATATTTTAAAAACTGATGCTGAAGAAGTTTGATATATTAGGGGAAAAAGCTATTGCCCTCACCTCCCAATTCCAACTAAGTATATTAATTGCACTATGATTTTTAAAGTGATCTATCCTGTTCCTAAACCTGTAGATGTCTGTTTTATTTCAAAAGAACGTTTCCACAGCCAAAGAAGAGAATTGGGATTGAACATTATATATTTTAGGTACCAATATCTGTTCTTGTATGCTGAAGACTTTCCAAATAATAATATTGGAACATCTGTTGAGCATTTAGCTCATGTTAGGCACTGTTCTAAATGTTTTATATGTTCTACTCAYGTAAGATTTACTATACCCTTGGAAGTAGATGCTATAGTTTTATCATCCCCATTCTATACATAAAAAAATAAGGCATAAGAAGGTTAAGAAACTTCTAGCTATTATAGCTGTTAAATAGCACAGCCAAGGTTCAGACCCAAGCATTGAGTCTTATCTACTGTATCATACCACCTCAGAATCTTAAATTGGGTCCTGTCTTAGGATTAGGTATATAAAGTTAGGAGTTAGGTATCATGCCCAGATTTTTCTCTGGAGGCAGCTGAAGTAGCCCCACTGCCTCTTCAGTTTATAAAATAACAATTTCAGAAGTTCTTTAGTCCCTGTAATATTCTTTGACCTAGAATAGTAAGGAATACGTGATTTGACACTGTATTTAGGGAGAATCCCCTTACTACTTTTAGCTCCTCAGAATTAGAACATTGAATCAAATAATGGGGGAGAGGATAAAAGACCTCAAAATCAAAGGGTGAAATGAAAATCAAGAATAAGCAAAAATATCCACTGATATATTGGTTTTGATCTTTGGTCTTTTGCCATTTTTGCCTGCCACTGCTAGAGGAGAAAATGGTTTCTCCAAAGGGACTGTGCCTGTTGTAAATTATACACAGCCTTGTAGGGGGCAGCAGTGAGCAGGATATGAGCTGGAGTTTTGCTGTTGACTGTGGCAGTTACTTCAGTGAGATCCCTTATAGAAGCAGCATTCATCAGGACATATTTTCCATTCCCTGGGCCCATCAGAAGCTGAATTTTTAGCAAGCAAAGTTAATAGAATTATTATTTAGAGATGAGAAGGAAATATTCTTTGTCTCTTTTATCTTACCACACTTACCTATATCTTTTTTTAAAATATTTTTTTTAGTTATAGATGGACACAATACCATTATTTTATTTTTATGTGGTGCTGAGGATCGAACCCAATGTCTTACRTGTGCTAGGCAGGTGCTCTACCACTGAGCTACAGACCCAGCCCTACCTATAACTTTATAGGAAGTGCTTTTCTTTTGAGTTCAAAATAATGTTAACCTCAAAAATGGGTGCCAGTTCATATGTCTATGATGATGATGAAAACTATTTTAAATAAAAAGCATCATTTTCAAAGCAGCATACTTCTCAGGCTTTCAAAGTTATTGTCCTTATGAAGTCAGTATTGTGAAGTGTTAGTACACAGCCTAAAATGTCTATATTCCTTTTAAAAAATTCTGTTTCTCAATTTTTGAGCAGTCTTTTGCAAGTAATTTGTCCTTTCCAATTGTGTTCTTTACCTCAAATAGATACTTTTATTCATAAAAGTTTCTCTTCTTTTTATATGTCCTATCAGTTTCATAGGATATATTAAAACTTTTTTCAAAATAAGATGACTGATTAATTATTTTTATAATTGACAAGGAATGTAACAGCCAGGAAACGAAAGGAATCGATTTAGTTTGTATTAAAAAAAAAAAAAATCTGGAAATGCTCTATTTGGATATGTATAGAAAAACATTTGGCTACCCTTCCCCTGGTGCTTTCCTGAAAGGAAAATAGACTTCAATGTCTGTTCATATAATAGCCTTTCAAAAAATATTTTCATGAATAGATTTATTTATAGGTGAATTTTGTTAAATTATATATAGTTTCAAAAGATTAATAATTGAAAGAATGGATGCTTTACCTTCACATAAGAAAATTAAACTTCTCGAAAATGGAATGTTGGAACTGGCTACCTTATAAATAATACATAAAGAAGTAGAAGACTGATAAAATTAGGGACATTGTAGGAATTAGGTCAGGAGATTAGTTATTGATAAAAATACCCAGTTAAAGGAAGGGGAAGACAGAGTTAAAGGAAGAATTAGTTGTAAAAATAGATTGAAAGTCACAATCAAGAAACAAATATTTTAGCCAAGAGGGGTAATGCACACCTGTAATTCCAGCTATTCAAGAGGCTAAGGCAGGAGGATCACAAGTTTGAGGCTAATTTGGGCAACTTAGCAAAAATAAAACAAAACAGGCTGGGGGATATTACTCGTGGTAGAGCATTTGCCTAACGGACACAGGCTCCCAGATTTTATCCCCAGGACTAGAACMAAAAAAAACAAAAAAATTAAAAAAACCTTCAAATACATGGAAATAATTTAGATAAATAGAACTAAATCTTCTGGTCATAATAGAATAAAATGGCAAGATTTACCCTTTCATCTTAACTGGAAGACTTATAAATAAAACAATATGGAACAACAATTTTCAGACACTGCTGGTAGATTTTAAATACAGGAGCTTCTCTCAAGTCTTAGGTTGAATACTGACCTGGGTGTTTGTGAAAAGACACTACTAAAGGCTAGGAAAAGAATTGCCAGAAAGATGGAATCAGAACAATCTCAGGGCCCACACACATGCCAAGAGTAGTCATGTTCCAGCCAGTTAAAGTGGAAAAAATCTCCGAAGTGAGAGGGTGTATGAATAGAATCCTTATAAGAGTTCACAGTGTCCAATATCACATCAAAAATTACCTGAAACTGTCCAATAATACATGTTAATAAAAAATTTTTTAAATTACCAGCTATACAAAGAGAAAAGAAAATACAGCTATTGACAAAGGAGAAAAGCAGTCACTACAAACACCCAGAAATGAACAAAATGATAAAATTAGCAAACAAATATGTTAAAACAGGTATTAATTATATTCAGAAAAGTAGAGAAAAATGGACATTCTGTGGAGAGAAATGGAGATATTTTTTAAAAGGTCCAAATTGAACTTACAGAAATGAAAATGTATCTGAAATAAAACATACACAGGCTGGTGCTATAGTAGATTAGACACGTCAGAAGAGAAGCATTTGTGAACTTAAAGATATAGCAATAGAAGCTGGCATGGTGGTGCACACCTGTAATCCAGGCAGCTYGGGAGGCTGAGGCAGGAGGATCACTAGTTCAGACAGAGCCAGCCTCAGCAAAAGTGAAGCACTAAGCAACTTAGTGAGACTCTCTGTCTCTAAAGAAAATACAAAACAGGGCTTGGGATGTTGCTCAATGGTGGAGTGCCTCTGAGTTCAATCCCCAGTACCCTCCAAAAAGATATAGCAATAGAAACCATCCAGAAGTAAATAGAAAAAATGCTGAAGATAGCCAGGCACAGTGGCACACACCTGTAATTCCAGCAACTGGAGGCTGAGTCATGAAGATTGGAAGTTTGAGGTCAGCATTAGCAACTTAGTGAGGTTCTAAGCAATGTAGTTAGACCCTGCCTCAAAAAATAAAAAGAAGGGCTGGGGTTGTGACTCAGTGGTAGAGTGCTTGCCTAGCACATGTGAGGGACTGAGTTCAAGCCTCAGCACCACATAAGAATGAAATAAAGATACTGTGTCCACCACCTACAACTAAAAAATAAATAGGACTGGGGATGTGGCTCAGTGGTAAAGTGCCCCTGGGTTAAAGCCTCAGTATCAATAAAATAAAATAAAAAAGGCTGAAGAAGGATGACAGACCATCAGTGAACCATGGGACAGTTATCAAACAGTCAGCATATAATTATAGTCTCAAAAAGAAAGGTGGGAACATAGGTAATGTCAACAAAGTATTTGAAAARTTAATGGTGGAGCCAGCATGGTGGCTCACGCCTGTAATCCGAGTGGCTCTGCAGGCTGAGACTGGAGGATGGTGAGTTCAAAGCCAGCCTCAGCAAAGGCAAGGCACTAAGCAAATCATTGAGACCTCATCTCTAAATAAAATACAAAATAGGGCTGAGGATGTGACTCAGTGTGTGAATGCCCCCGAGTTCAATCCCCAGTACAACCCCCCCCCMAAAAAAAATTTGATGGAGGAAGAGTTCTCAATTTTGAAAATTGTTAAATGAAGAAATTCAGCACACCCCAGGAAGTGCTAATCAAATCAGGCAGAAGAAGCACCATACTAAAATAATAATCAAATTACCAAAAATTAGTGATAAAGAGAAAAATAGTAAGTACAGCCAAAGGGGGAAAATACATCAGGTATGGAGGAATAAAGATAAGAATAATTCTGTTAAATCATGTCGGCCAGAAGACAGTATATCTACATTTTAAAGTACTGAAGAAGAAAAAAAAATTGTCAATATAAGATTGTATACCCAGTAAATACATCTTTCAAAAATAAGCTATACTTTTTCAGACAAATGCTGACAGAATTTACCACCAACAGACCTGTACTGTAACAAATATTGTGACATGTTCTGGGCTGAGAGTATAGCTCAGCTCATGCAAAGTCCTGGGTTCAATCCCCAGGACAGAAAAAAAAAAAAAAGACAACATTCTTTAGGCAAAAGAAAAACATGGAAATGTCATTCTATACAAAGAAATGAACAGCAGTGTAAATGCTTTTTTTTTTTTTTTTTTTAAATATCTCAGACAGTTGTCTAAAACAATGCAGTGTGGGGCTTAACAACATATAGAAGTAAAAGTAAAATATTTGACAATCATAGCACAAAGGAGAGGACAAAATGGAAGTATATAGGACTGTTGTAAGATTATTCCTTTCTACCTGAGGTGGTA